CCACATCAGGATCAACAGACTATCTGACTTCAAGCTTACTGTAAGTTGCTAACTCCTGGTCAAGTTCAATCTAAAATTCAAGATAGGAAATGTAGTTGAAAGAAAATAAAGGATATTTCAGAGTATTTTCTTCATTTGCAGTAGCAAGTCTTATTTTTGTTGGACCTTAGACTCTTGCAACAATTTCATGAAAGCTGTAGAGTATAAACTCTCTTCCTAAAGACAGACAGATATGAGTTCACAATTTTGTGTACATGTAAACTTTTGGGAGATTTCCAAGCTCTTCAAAACTAAAGCTACGAATTTGTGGCCTGAAATACATCACTAAAGAAGAACTCAGGTCACAGATAGGACTTGACTTTCTGTACATAAAAATGCCTTCTTGGCTAAACAAATCCAATTGATGCAAATTCTTGAGTATAATCAAAATTTTTACAAGCAAGAATTTGCCATTTACAGGACGAGTCATAATAGACAGAGCCTATATTATAAAGGTATTCACTAGGTACACAGGTCGCAACCTGATTCTTGCGGGACACTTGAAGGAGCTTGCAGCAGTGTCTGAGGGAGGAGGAAAGGATGTTTCTAGGATGATGTCGACCTTACAGCCCAGCTGTGTGCCTTGATCATGACCTTGAGCTCAAGGAATTAGCTCAGACAGTGCTAAACTGAGTAGCCATTCCACAGACAGCCTACAGCCCGGCAGGTCGCTGCTCTCTAACTCTGTCATCATGACACTGCCATCTGCAGCAACTGAGCTGAGATCTCTGTAGACCAAATTTATCACACCCAAGATTCCACCCTTATATAAGAATCACCTGTCGCGGGTGCATAAATTTAAGCACCTAGCAGAGCCAAGGGTAATCAAGTTTTAAAAGGAAGGGGTTTGAATAAATATCAAGCAGACATCCTCTCCGTGGGGCTGAGTTCTGAAAAACCTTTGTGCCCTCCTATGCCTCTCAAAGGAGACTGTCATTTTTAAACTTTCCCTCTGCATCACCACTGTTGGGGCAATGGTACTCTAAGAGCCACAAGTCATCTGTCTTCTTGGAGTTTCTGCCCAAGCTATGACCTCAATTTCCTCCACTTTATATCTTTCCTCACAAATTTTATCTTGCTCTCATCACCAGATAAATTAACCATAAAGCAAAGTCTTGTCTCCCATTACTGAAGCCGGAGAGAAATCCATCCAAGCCTGGAGCTATGTGTTGCTACATGAAAGGCAGTGGCTGGCCTGAGGAGAAATTGCCCTTATAACTTCATATTTATTCAGCACTTTAGGTCATCTAGAAGATTCCCTTAGCCTGAGATGTTAGAGTAGAGGTACAGACTTGTTTACCGAGAAGAGAGAAAATCCCATTTGAAAATAACAGAAGGAAGCAGAATTGTTTAAGAAGTAGTACCACTGGGAAAATCATGGGTGGTGGAGAGGGTACAGGTGAGAGGTACTTCCTGAACTAAAAGCAGAGCCAAGAGAACTACCTAAAGCTCTGTTTCATGAAGTTTGGGAAAATTAAACTAGGATTGACAAATATCTGAGAAGTTTGGCTCGATGACCTTAGGCAAATAATTCCCTCCTCTGCGTTTCTATTTGTAAGATGCAGGAATAGAAGGAAGGTTTCTTCCTGCTGCAGCAGGCCAAGATGGAAGGTAGAAGAAAAGGCCTTTGAAGCCAACATAATTACTCCTCTGTCCAGGGAAATATAAACAACAATAACTCCAATAGCCTTCAGCTCTGCTTTTGAATGAGTTCTTTGCTTCTGCCTGAGAGGTAAAGTAGTTTATTCCTTGGGGGAAAGTTCAGTGTGGAATGGCAGGCCATGCCCTACTCACTCTCATTTCATTATGTTACACTGGATGATTATTAATACAAAGAATATTCAATGTAAGTTAGGAAGACTTTACTAAATGTCCGCCAGGGGCCCAGGCCAGAAGCAGGACCTATGGAACAGACAAAGAATACATGACATGGTCACATCATTTTCATGTCCCTTCAAACTTTTTGGAGAAGTTTGCATGTTCCATTTAAAAACCCAAGCAGAAAATGAGCTATTATATTTTAAAGGAATTGTTTTTTTAAAAGTTACTTCTATTAACATAAGTGAGTTTGATCAAACTTGCTTGTTTTTATATTCTTCCTATGACATGTTTTGCTTATCTTTGCTAAGCAAAACAGCTCCAATATTTAGAAGGCATCCATTGGCTTAAATTCTGGTTGTAAATCTCTAGGCAAAACACAGGTAAGTCAATCAAGAAACTTTTTAATATGTAAAGAAATATATACTACACGTTTTGAAGTTCCCCTCTGGTGCAAGCTCTAGATGACATAAAGGCAACTTAAATGAACTGTTTTTTGTAAACTACCCTAATTCCTGGATGTGATTATTGTTTGGCAGTTTTGCATGGCTGTGCAATGCCAAGGCCACCTCCAGATAATTCTAAGCCGTGTGCTACTATTATTTGGTGCATACTTCTTTTTCTTATGCCAATAGGTGGTCAGTTATGTCATCTTCTCCAGACCATTTTGTGTTCCTTTAAAGTTTTCTGATACAAACCAGTGATTGTACTGGTTAGCTGTGTGTTGCAAGAACAGAATACCTGACACCTGAAACCTAAAGGGGGTGCGGCTCGTCCGGATTCCTGGTTTCAGCTGATTGGCTGGATCTAAGGAAGAAGCACCACTGCCTGGAGGCCTGGCAGAGAAAAACTGCTCCACTCTGGGCATCAGAAAAGCAGTGGACAGGGGAAGAGCCCAAAAGGGAAGGCACAAGGGACCAGACACAGTCCCCAAAATTATGTCCCCATAACCCAGCCAGGTATACCCAGAAGTGTCACTTCTTCTGTCTCCTAGGCATCTTTCAAACCACTCAAGTTGACAATTAAGATTAACCATCCCACTAATCAATTTACAGTATTTGAAGTCATAATCATTTCAAAAATATGCTTTGAGTATAAAACAGAACTTTTCAAAAAGTGAAAGTGATGGAAAGGAGATCTTTCCATTATTTTCAGTGTAAATTATCTTCATTATGACCTGAAAGTACTTGCTCTAAACATTCTCTATGCATATGCTTGGGTGTACTTTCAATTGCACATATGAACATACATTACAATGATATAACTCATGGAATGCACATGAGTGTAATTTTCTGGTCACACTACATACCTCAGAACAGTTTCATTCCAGTAACATAAAGCACTATTTTTGAACAGCAGGTGTTGAAGATTGATTATTGTACTCTTCAGTTCATGAAACGTCAAAGCGCCTTTATACCTATTGCCCTTGTCGAGAACACAGTAAGAGGGTAGTGGTGGGAATTAGGGTGACAAACTGCCTGGAAGTTTCCTGGGACTAAAGAGGGCCCTGGGTTACAGCACTTGACATCGGAATGTCCCAGGAAATACAGAACAGGCTGGTCATCATAAAGGTATTATAATTCCCATTCACAAGAACAATCTGTTGCTAGCACTCACCTTCAAGCACCTAGCAGAGTCAACAGTAACCAAGAAGCACTTGCTAGATAACTGAGCAAAGTATTTTGCCTCTCTGGACTTGAGTCTCCCCAAGCATAAACATTAAGAATTTGGGACTCAGTCCTCTGTCTTCTAACAAGAACCCATTCACAGCTAACTAGATCACCGCTGTTACTTCTAGACTTTCTTTTCACCTTGAACTTTGAGGAAGTCCATGTCATCTTTTGCCTTTAGTGTGCTGCCATTCCTAAAGTGCTGGCTTGAAATGCCACGAGCAGGAATGAATGGGGTCTTTGTCTCCTTCCCACATTATTCAGGAGGAACATTGCCATTCTGTGCTTGGAAGAGTAGGATGACTGAGAAGTTATAATTATCACAGCTCGCAAAAGCAGAGAAAACACTAGCATAACTTTGGTCTACCCTACCAATTACCTCTGGAGATAACTAACTATCTCTAGGCCTTCCCTGGTATAATTTTATGAAACTAATTAACTTAAATGAACCTCAAGAAAAATGACGAGGTGACCACATTTTGAACCACAATATGATAATAGGGCTTACCAAGGCTTTATTACATGCTAGGCTCTGTGCATAAAGTTTTATTTAATTAGGTCAGTTAAGCCTCCCCAGTATTCTAGGAGGTTGTAACTACTGTCCCAATTGTACAGATAAGAAAGTCAAGGCTGAGAGTCAATAAGCAATTCGCCACCATCACACAGTTAATAAGAGTTGGAATTTGGATTTATACTCAAGCAATTAATCCTTTGAAAGTAACACTTCATTATAGGTGATATGGTGAAAGTAACCACTATATCACCTATAATAAAGGCAGCTAAATAGTGTCCCTCTCAAACAGAGTCTCAATGTCCAAGTCTGTAGTAGCTGTTCATTACAGTATACTTAAAACTAACCAGGCCACACACGCCTGCAGAGAACAACCATGTGTCTGTCTACCTATTTAGGTCAAAAGACATGAGATTTTGGTCACAGAAATTAAAGGATCTAAAGAAAGAGATTTTATTCTGTTGATTAATTCAGGAAGGAGATATATTGACCTGCTGAGCTGCTGTTCCATTCTTTCTTCAGTACCTGTATTTTCCTTTCTGAAAAATGTAACTAGTATTTCCTAAGTGTCTACGAGAAGCAAATGGTTAATATAATGGGGAAGCACTATACAACCTGTAAAGTGCTTTGAAACAATTATATCATATGTTAAGCAGTTTCCAAAATAGCAATTTCTTCAAATGCCCTTGCAAAGCAAATGAGACACAGCTGGTAGGATGTTCTGCACAGAGACGGAAATCCAACTCTTTAAAACATTCAAGGGGAAAACACACACTGTAAAATTACCCCAAAGATGAATTTTACAAGAAGCATGGAAGTGTCATCAAATTTTTTCCATGGTTAATTCTAAAAGAGTACCAGCATTGCAAAGATCAAACATGGCACTTCTTCAGCAGAAACTAGGGAAATACTCTTTAATGACACTTGCAAAATGGTTAGAAGTATATATAAATTATACTTACCTCAGGAGCAGAAGTGAGTGAGGAGGCTGAGTTTACCAGTTCCTCTCACTCTTTTCCAAAGACAAACCTGTTGGAAAAAAAATGAGGACTTAAGTAAGAGAAAAGAAAAGTAAAGAAGGATGAGGTGTCTATGGAATGTTGTCATGCTTTGACAGTGACTCAGCAATTGCTAAGGGGCAGTGACAATTAAATCAGTGTGTTGAAAGAACACTAATAAAACTCAGCACTCCTTGTAATCTCAGAGCAAGATTGCACCACTAAAGAAAATATTAAACAACATATTTGGGGAGGGCTGTGGTTTGAGGGAGATTGCTTGGGGGACAGAGACTCAAGGATGAGTCACAGGCTGTCTTGCAAGTTGCCTAATGCTAGAGGAAGTCAGGTTGGGTCTCTGCCCTCAACCCTGTTTTCCCCCCTCTCAGTGATTTTAGCTCTTTTTATTTTTTATTTTATTTTATTGAGAGACAAATATCAATGAGACAGTTTCAAAGCTGATTAATAGGACATTTTCAATAATTAATACATTGCACATTGTTATCTTCTTAGTGGTTATTCATAGTACAAGAAGCAGACAGGATATCCTGTCCAAACACTATTACTACAATCTTTCTTCTCATTGAATTAAGTGAAAGTAGCTGTATATCTATCCTAACTATTCTGTATATACAAATACAAAATCGCCCTTCCTTTGTATCCTCTTTTTTTGTTTAGTCCTGTCAGAGATAGAAATTCTATTGGCATCTAAATACTATAGGTACTTGAATTCAGCAAAACAATCCAACACAGTCCAGCAGTCCACAATAGTAGTGGGTTATCCGCAGAAGTTGTTGACTAGAGCCTTTTACAGCTCAGCATATTAATATGGCTTTACTTTATATACCTCATTTTTATACTTTTCTGCTGGATGGATAAGACCAAGACAAAGTAAGACCTA